AAAAACAGAGTTCAAATGACGTTTTTCCAAACAACTTTTTATGTCGGGGCTGCAGCACACTTGGATCACTACGGATGAGCAGTATGGAGGTACTTTGTGGATTCAATTTTGTGTTCTTGGATGTTAGTCTGGGGCGCCGTCTACCATTAGGTGTGCTAGCCGCTCCACCCGCCGATCTCCGCAAGGGATGTGAGGACTCTAAAACTTCCCCAGGGCCTCCCTCGGCATATGGGTGAGTAGATAATGGCTGAATTTTCATTTTTGGGTGCACTATCCCTTTAAACAATACATTGTTTTACTGTGCTATATTAGAGAAGGTAAGATACCACAGTCAGTCATCACTGTAACAGCACAGTTGAGAAGCATTCACACACTCAAGCCTCGTTGTCTTTTAGTTGTTGTTTGTGAGGATCTGTAAAGCCTGCCAGTTCTCACTATAAAAAATCTCAGTGTTGTAGCAGTAATTAACCTTGATCTGTGTGTCAAACTATGCCGTGTTGAGTCCTTGAATTAGAGTGCATTGGGCCTGGAAAGTCCTTGCATTTGGTATTTAAAGGGCTACAATGCCAATTTTTACCCAGCTTTGTATCATAACAATGTGGGTAGTATGTGTAAGTGAAGTATGTTAACTTCCCTCCATCTTACCAGCACCCAGATCTCCCTGCTAAATAGATTTTTGCTGGCTGTTGCTCAAACTACACATTGTACTTCCCCATTTTCCCGCCACCACAGACACAAAGACATAGTGTACTGTTTGACTGTAATTCCAGCTGGCTGCCATATTGTTGTCTGTGTCAATACAGCAAGTTGCATTACATCACCCACTAGCAAATACATCAGGCCTTTTCCACTGTTTTTCCTTCTCTTGTAGCACAAAATTCAAAAGTATTTGTGTCTTTCTGCTGCACAGACAGCCCTGGTTTATGAAGAGACCATGTTTCCAGCAGTGAAATACTTATTTTAAGAAGGTGTGGGAACCCTCTACTGGTTCCTTTGTTTCTGTTAATGACTTTCTGGGGTTCATTCCCTGCCTCATATAACTGTGAAAATAATGAATACTATTTTAAGACATCATGCAGGCACTATACAAACCACTAGTTTGGTCAATTTTTGAGATTTTTTTCAAACACGTGGAATATGATACCAAGAATGGACCGAGGATACCTAAAGGTAAGTGTGTAGGAATCATTGGTGCTTCTCATGTCTCATCTTTGCATACTGTCTTTTCCACACCCACAGCGCCTCTTTCGACTCGACAGTACGACTCTGGGACGTAGAGCGAGGGGTTTGTATTCACACGCTGACCAAGCACCAGGAACCCGTCTACAGTGTGGCCTTCAGCCCCGACGGCAAGCACCTCGCTAGCGGCTCCTTTGATAAGTGTGTCCACATTTGGAACACCATGGTAAGTGTGTGATTCACACAGCAGAAGAGAGAACTCATTGTGATTGCTAACTCTTGATGGAGTTGGATATTAATTTGTTGACACTCTTGTTTCAGACTGGAGCCTTGGTGCACAGCTACAGGGGTACTGGTGGTATTTTCGAGGTGTGCTGGAACAGCACCGGGGACAAAGTTGGTGCCAGCGCGTCAGACGGCTCGGTAAGCCACTGTGATGATGAAGTAGTAATATTCATTATTCACTTTTGGTTTGTTACCAGGAAATAAAAATGACTGAAAGACCTTTGAGAACAATTAGTAAAAAAACCAAAAAAAAAACAAAACACATTGCCTGAAATGTATTATTAATGCTACCTTATTTTTACTCTCTAGGTATGTGTTCTTGATCTCCGAAAATAGCCGACTTGAGACTTTGATGATGAATCCTGGAATGTGCAGCAAATTGCCTTCTTCTGACGTCAGCAAACACACTCATTGCTTGAGAAAAGCTGTGAGGTGGAGCGAAACAAACCCCCTAACAGGAGTAAAACCAGATGACTGCAGCAGCCTCTGAGGAGCCAACACCAACTGACTTCAGTGCACCTTACAGTTTGTTGACGTGTGTTTTATGATACGCCTATTGGAAACATAATGGAAGCTGGTAGAGAGATCCCCAAGACTGGACTGAATCCAACTCCCTGGGTGCATCCGTGTTTTAAAAGGTTTCTAATGAGAAAGTGCTGCGATCCCTCCGGGCCACTGGTCCAGCTGTTATCGGGTTGTAAGGGTGGAAACAAAGATGAGTTTTATATAAAGAGAAAAGTGTTAATGAGACACGTGTTTGGCTGGAAAAGGCAACAAATTATGAAAGACAGATTGTGGTTTTTTTTAGAATTCCTCTGAGCAAATGTTACCTCATGTCCAATCGAACTAACTGGGGACGTGATTAAAAGTAACATCGATACTAAAAGCACTGGTATTGTCTGTTGACAGGGTGCTTAACTTCTTCTCAGTGGAGAATAGTTTGTTTCAAGAGTACTTCTTGCTTCTTTTTTTCCACAGATGGACTTTTGAAAGTCAAAAATCGAATGTGCCGCTACAAGGTAGTTCTTAGCTCACGTTTAACATCAGGTCAACAAAAGGAAATACCTGCCAAGAAACAGTCCTAACCTCCTAAAATGACCTGCTCAATTCACTCGAAATTAGAAAATGTCATTTTGTGGACAAGATGTGAAAAGTGTGGTTTACAAAGAGAATTTTCTCCCTTTTTTGGATGTAAATTTAAGAATGTAAAGATATGTAAATTAGATTAATACACAGACTTATATACTGTGTATATATGTTTATATACAGTACACTTTATTGCCATCCTGTAGGGGCTCATTAACGGCTAGAGCTGTCACGTCTTTGCCGACAACACGTGACGAGAGTTCCTTTTTAAATGAAGTGCATGTGTCATCAACTTCTTTTAATACAGTCTTTTTTCAAGTGGGCCAATCACATCCAGCACATCGAGTTGTTTTGTTTTCTAGTGAGTCACAAATGACATTGACACAGATGTGTTAAGCAGCTTTGCTTTCCTTTACCGATCCCTGAAAGCCATGGAAGAAATGTGCGCCTCATTACCGGCGTTTAGAGAATTATCTGGTCAACAATACGGGAGAAAGGAGTCATCCCAGTCTCCTGCTTGGTTTCTGCTATAACTTTTATATGGAACAGGACATGACAGAATCAATGTTAAGAGTATGATGAAGACCTGAGTGGGGAAACAGCTACAGCTTAATTACCATGGTTTCTCTTTGGCACTTTCCTCTGAACAATCTACTGAAAATTCAGAGCACATTTTGACCAGAAGGTGGAGGTCAAGCAAAAATCCTGCTGTTGCTTAAAAAAAAGAAGCTATGATTGGTCTTATTAGGTCCAAACGAATGCTGCCAGCTGATCAGATTTGAAATGCCTGTGTTGTGGGCTGAACCTCATCAGTGTGCAGTAAGCGTGGCTCCATCTGCGTACTGGGATCTCATGAAAAAGATACTAACTTCAAACCAACTTGCCACCACTTTGATTTGCCTTTTTTTCTGGTCCCTTTCTTTTTCAGTCAACTTCTGCTAAAGCAATGTGAAGTGCACTTTTTGTAACAGTGGATACAGCAAATGTTCAGATTTTGCTGGAAGTTGAAGGGCCAACGTTTTATTTTTGTTTTGTTTTTAAGTGTCACAATTGGATGTTAATGGGTAGTTCATTGTTTTCTGACTTTTTTTTTTTCATTTGCTGAGAGCCATTATTGTCTGTGTCAGACTGAGAATTGGGCTGTGGGTTGGTGGCCATTCTTGGCATGCTAAGGAGCCCAGTATGAAATAAAGTGCTGTGACGGCTACTATCTCTTCTTGCACCCTGGTCCAGGGTGCGGTCACCTGTTTCCAAGACAAAACGTTGAAGTCATTCAGTGTCTCAAATAAATCACTCTATTTTGATATCAGAAATCATGGAGTCTGTGTCTTTAATTCAGTGTGTTTGTTTGTCTGGAACCACTCAAAAGCATGGGCAGGTTATGAGACAATGGGCCCCTGATAGAAAGGCAACAGTAACTCAAATAACCACTCATTACAACCAAGGTATGCAGAGGAACATCTCTGAACGAACAACACGTCCAACCTTGAAGCAGATGGGCTACAGCAGCAGAAGACCACACCAGGTGCCACTCCTGTCAGCTAACAACAGGAAACTGAGGCTACAGTTCACACAGGCTCACCAGAACTGGACAATAGAAGATTGGAAAGATGTTGCCTGGTCTGATGACTCTGGATTTCTGCTGCAACATTTAGATGGTAGCGAGATGGTAGATGGATCCATCCTGCCTTGTATCAACGGTTCAGGCTGGTGGTGGTGGTGTAATGGTGTGGGGGATATTTTCTTGGCACACTTTGGGCCCCTTAGTACCAACTGAGCATGGTTTAAACACCACAGCCTACCTGAGTATTGTTGCTGACCATGTCCATCCCTTTATGACCACAGTGTACCCATCTTCTGATGGCTACTTACAGCAGGATAACGCTCCATGTCACAAAGCTCAAATCATCTCAAACTGGTTTCTTGAACATGACAATGAGTTCACTGTACTCCAGTGGCCTCCACAGTCACCAGATCTCAATCCAGTAGAGCATGGATGTGCAGCCGACTGTGTGATGCTATCACGTCAATATGGACTGAAATCTGAGGAATGTTTCCAGCACCTTGTTGAATCTATGCGACCAAAAATTAAAGCAGTTATAAAGATATAAGGGGTCCAACCTGGCACTAGCAAGGTGTTCCTAATAAAGTGGCTGGTGAAAGTAGGTGGAAGGCGCAAAGACTTTGTGGTGGTTTGCATCTCTTCTTGGTCATTCTGTGTTTCCTTGTGGATGTTTTATGTCTTTATGTAGTTGTGTGAGTCTGTTAAAGGTAATTTTGTGCCTCCTTGTATTTATTTTGTGTCTCTTTGCAGTTCCTTTGCATCTCTTTGTGTCTTTGTCTCATTCAGTAATCCACCCATGCACAAAAGACATCAAGAAAATGTCATCAACAAACCTTTTACAAATATTTTGTAAATTTAATAAAGTATAAAATGGATGTGTGCAAAAATACAAGATGGACAACTACAAATACAGTAAAAAAAACAACAACACTAAGTAGCTTATTCCATTCTGTGCACATCACTAAACCAGCGTGCATCTAATTCAGTGAATATGCCAGGAGAATTTTTTTTCCTAAGGCACTTAAGACACACGTAAAGGTCAGCCTGTGAGGTTTTAATACAAAAATGTCATGTTTACTCTGTTGACTGACGACAGTGCAGTAGCTTCGGGATTGTTCAGCTGTACAGTTCATGGTTCCACTGCACTGTACTGCAGGCAGATTTAAAAAGCTTAGGGAAGGAATAAAAAGCTTAGAATCAAGAATCAGACTCATTTTTGTTGTACCAACTAATGACATCTCGTGACCAGAAAATATCTGGGGAAAAATCTCAACCGGATAAAAGAGGCTAAGAGGAGACAATCTAAAAAACAAAAGTAACTAAAAGAACAATGTCACACAGGGAAAAGCCGAGGGAGGCGGGTTGTTGATCACCCAGCTAGTGCCTCACAGAGTTCTCCAAGGATTCTCCGTCAGCGTCTACATCCTCATAGTCTCGTAGCTCGCTGGAAATGTGGATTTCAACTGTACTAGACTCTGAACCTAGCAAGACAAAATAGGGGTAGATTACTGGGCTGCACAAGACACCTTCACAGCTAACAAACTGCTTAGCCACTGAGAGATTGACCTGGCATTTACACATCCCTCCATCGCAAATGTGCATTGATTCACAAATGTATTTTGGGAATTTTAACACATGCATTGTAGTTCACCCCAAAATCAAAGTACAGATTTTTCCTCTTATCAGTCTAGATTGTTTTGATGTGAGTTGCAGAGTGTTGGAGATATCACCCGTAAAGATGTCTGCCTTCATTCAACAGCAATGTCTCTTTCCAGAAATCATGAGCGGTTTCATGTAGGAATTATTTTCTTTATACCTGCTAACCGTATCACCACACAGAAGGAAGTGTGCATCTACTGCTAGCTTACCTAGCAGCACTGAGCTAGCTAACGTTACAGCTCAGCGGAGGAGGACGCCATTAATGTTTCAAATCTTGTCCTGTCAGGAGCATGTGACTCTTTTCCATTAGCAGAATCACGCTTCATTATGCACGGTGATTCGTTAGCGGGTGTAGTATGGTAGAAAGAAAATAGTTCCTCTATGAAACTGCTCACAGCAAGATCTGTGGATTATCTTTAATAACCGGGTCATGATTTCTGGAAAGAGACATTGCCACTGAGTTTTTCAAATGTCATTTTTTGCCGCTTTGAGCACCACAAGCCGAGTGCCATCGAGTTCCATTATATTGGAAAGAAGGTCGACATTGCTACAGCTGATATCTCCAACACTCAGCAGCTCACACCAAAAAAATCTCGACCAATAAATAGCACTTCAGGTAGGAGGGAAAATGTGTAATTTTGGTTTTGAGGTGAACTGTCCCTTTAATGTGGAAACTTTTTTTTCAATCTACTCATGCATTTTACACAAAACAGGTTAAAGGCTATATAAATGAATGAAAAGCATGAATCCTTTAAAGGGTTAACTTTATTTCTAAAGATTTGCCATTTCAGAGACACTAAATGGTGACACAACACATTGAATAGCCTTTGTACATGATCTACAGTGTGCACAAACAAAATAGTATAAAATGGTATAAAATGCTTTACAAAATCATCCCAAAATACATTTAATACTATCAAACAGGCTTTTAGTCACAGCAGACATTTGGAGAGGCCATCGTAGGGAAAGCACAGGTGTTACTAATATCATTAACAATGGCTCTGTCCTATTCAAGTATCCCTGTGAGACAGCACGGACAGCACTGGGACCCTGAAACTGAAGCAGCTAAATTGAATTGAGCCATCATTTACACCTGTGCGTCTCCTACTGCACATGTCTAAATGTCACGTGTAAAAAAGGCCCGTGTCATCACTCAGTGTTACTAGGATGAGAGAATAAATATTGACATTTTTGTCCAGTGAATGTACATCAGTGTTCAATCTACAGTTTGTTGCCAGTTTATTAGGTACACTTAGCTAAACTAAAGCACTGTAATACAAGATTGCTGCAATAAATCCCACATCGAAGGCAATACTGTTAAATATCCCTGCATTTATATTAATGACAGTAAACTCAATATCAGTCTCCAAAATGACTATACAGTTAATATCTAATATATTTTCAACAATCCCTGAACATATAAGCTCCGTGAAGGTTTATCACAGGGCTGTTGTATTAGACTGCATTACTTTTAGTTAGGTGTACCTAATAAACTGGCAACTGAGTGTGCTCTAAATGCTTCATATATATATTTAACAGCTTTGCAATTGCTCTCTGCATACCAATAATAATTTAAAGCTTAATGTGATAACTGGCACCTGTAACAGAAGGTCAGGACTCATGGTTAAAAAAAGAGCATGTCTCATAAATGCAAAATGGGAGCAACTCTGCGTTCGTCAGTTTGGTATTATCAAAAAATGTGTCACTTTCTGTGCAGCGTAATTTCAGGATACTGCATTTATGAGTATACCACTGATCAAAACAGGTAATTATGCACTACATGCTTCAGTATTTTATCCAGCAGGAGTTTAAACAAGTATTTTACTGTTAAAAAATCACCACAAAGAGCTTTAACTTTCAGTGTCTCCAGAGCTTTGCCACTGAAATTAATTTAATCACCATTATAAAATAACAAAAAAAAACAAAAAACAAGTAGAAAAAAAAAGTGTTCAGACAGTTAATGATGTCATCCAAAAGACAACTACAGGATGCTCTAGAGCTTCACCAGCCCTGATACACAGGTGAGCTGTTACTACCATTCATAGCCCAGTTACCTTCTGATAGGACGCTGATGGCGTCAGAGTGGTGCTGCCCGTTCCCCATCATGCTCTTCTTGGCATCCTGGACATGACTCTGGTAGAGCAGAGTAGTCCCAACTGTGGAATTATGGCCGGCTGCGTTAGGCGCTGAAGTAGAAACCGAGTCCCAGGCCAGCTCTCTCCGCCGCTGCAGTCTGAAGTCGACATCGAAGCCCGTCCAGCCGTGAAAGGCCAGGGTGTTGAGGAAAGCTTGCATGGGGTTCAGGATACCCTGAGAGAGACGAAATGCAGAGTAATGTCAGGTGTTAGATAAACGACTTTTTTTAATTCTGTGCTTTGATGTTTTTTAACCCACCATGATAAACCATGTGATGAGGGCGGCGTTTCTGATGTTCCTGAAACCATTGTCGTTGATGTCCGTCTGCATCTCCAGGTAGAAGAGGAGGCTCTCATTGATGATGTTGGGCACCCAGCTTAAACATCAGAGGAAAAATATTATGTGTCATTAAATCTCTGACTTATTTTTGCCCCCCGCAAACAAAACTCTACAGCTGTAATTACAGTATTATCCAACTCTGATGGAAAACAATGGCTAATTAGTTTGACATATATGTCTTCATGAGTTTGCCTTGTGAGAGTCACATTACTACCAGAGTTACATCACAGCAAAATGTCTCCATCTCAGTGACACTTTAAAATAAAGGTACAAATCATATACTTAAGTGACGCTTAACAAATGATCAAGTCACTTTGCCTATACGGGATCAATTAAGGAACGCTGATTCAATGTAACTTCATACATTAATTGATATGAGACCAAATTTAAACAAGAAGACATGATTTGTAGTTGAGAATATAACACTTGCAAATGCATTGAGGTGATTCTTTAAAGGAATAGTGCAACATTTTGGGGACTATGCTTACTAAAAAAAGTGTAAAAACAACATGTTTTGGTTTCACGGGTGCCCCCATTATTTCTTGGCACAGTAACTTCCTGTTTTCACTGTAACACTGCCAGGCAACCAGCAAACTAAGACTCCAGGAATTTACTGAGCCTGGCCAAGAGATAGTCTGGCACGTAATCCCCATGAAACCACAATGTGTTACCTTTTCCCTTTGGTTTTCGTGTGGAGTAAACAAGACTTAACATGTTGACTGGTGAGCTTAAGAGGTGCTAATAGATGGAGTTCATTACCTGTGGAAAAAGCTGGTGTGTTTCAGTCTTTATGCTAAGCTAAGCTAATGCTAACTCTCATGTCTGTGCTGTAAATATGAAACTACAATCTTCTCACTCCCCAAAATGTCAAACAATTCCTTTAAGTTTATCCAAATAATAATGTATAACAACATACCAAATGAAGAACACCAGCATTATTTTAAAGAAGCGTATTTTTATCTCGTTGGCCAGCCGTCTCTCGTTCTCTGTGTAGATTCCTTGTCGTCCTTTTAGCAAAGACGTCACTAGATTGAAGAGACGAGAGAGGTGGATATTTAAGCCAAAGTGCATGTGTGATAAAATTATTTGACATAGAGAGATTTGAGAGCAGGCAAGGACCTGACCTGCAGAGATGGTCCGGTTAAAGAAGACAGGGTTGGCTACGAGGACAAGCAGCATCGGTGCATACGTGGTGACATAGTGCGGGATGGCGTGCTGGAGGCCTTGCTCACAGCTGCACAGAAATGCAACAAAATCATGAAATTAGCTTTGGGACTGAGGTCATTTGAACGTCATCGTCGCAGTCATTACAGACGGTCTTTGGCTCTTGGAGGAGAAAAGACTGCGAGACAATTGCCCAAAGGGTGTGTGATGGTGTGTCTGAAGGAACAACAAAGAGTCTTACTCAGAGATGGATGGATAGTAGAGCATGGCCACTCCTTCGACGCACAACAGCACAGCCAGACCCCATGTAATCATGTGGTAGAGGATAATGGTGCTGATGGGGAAAGAAACAAGTCATGAGACTGAGCTCACAACACATGCTGCAGCTCTGAATGTGGAGGATGATTTTTTTTTCAGTACAGAAATCAAATGCACCACACAAACTGGGGAGGAAAACATACTGTCAGCCAACTGAAACACAAGAAATGTGTTTAAAACTCAGACCATTTCCAACCAGTTTCAGGGTGTTTGCAAATTTAGTCGTGAGAGAAGAAGGATTACATCTATAAAACAATGTGAAAATAAGTGAAAGGAAGATGTTTCACATGTTCTCGGCTCAGTTTAAAGCTTTGCGCTTTGTCTTGTTGCTATAGTGGGAGATGTTGAGGTGATAATGATGCTCCAAGCACCTGATTCCTGCAGATGTCTTCACCACCAGAAAGACGTCGACCGCATAACAAAAGGTCCACCAAAAAGAAGCACTGAAAAACAACTGGATCCACATCTGTAACACATACATAGGACACCTTGGTCATAAGTCTGATCATCCACATAGTAAGAAGCATGACTAACTGTGCCTTGCGTTTGAGGTCAATCTGTGACTTTGATTTTACAGTCGGCTGTACACATGCTTGTTGAGCCTGCGTGGAATCCTGATTGTTCCAGGATCATGCATTATTTTGTATTTTCCACTTCCTGTCATCCGTCAAGACACACTTAAACAATGTGGTTTGTTCTGCCACCGAACGAGGTCAAGCTTTGTCAAAGAGCATCACACATACCGCACTGCCAACACAGAAGACCTCCGGCCAAGCATCAGTGCTGTTGGCCACTGAGACGCGGTCCATGATGTTCGGCAGGCTTAGCCACACGGATGACCTTACAATGATACCTGCAGGAGGAAAAAACAACACGTGATCTCTAATTGTGGAGCAAATTGGACAAATCCTGCTCCACCAGGAAGAGGAAGACATACAAACAAAAACAATGAAGGGGGAAGTGGAATTGTTCTGGGTTTAATTAACATTTAAACCATCATTTCATTCTGTATTATTAAGTGAGTTAATTAATTAGACTCAGTCATGGGAGTCCTTTTAATAGCAGCTTTATGTCATGGAAATATGAACTACCTCCAGGTGTGTTTTATGAGGGTGTTTCCACTTCCTGCATGAGACTCTTCGCAGTGGAGTGGGAAAACGGGAGCTCTCCCAGAATCTTAATGTGATGCAGACTACACGCTGTTGTGCATTTCTGTTTTAAACTGTGTCATGGGGGTGCTTCAAGCTGTTACTTTACAGTGGTGGATGAATCTCGCCGGGCACTAAGTACACAGAAATACATGACTTCATCTGCCTTCCCCTCCCTTTCAGCAAGCGCAGAGGCAAAGTGATGAATGAACAGCTGGAGTGTCACATTGATTCTGATATGAAGCAGAGCAACAATGTGAGAATAATGTGCAGCCTTTGGTGTGCTGTTAAACCTGCAAGTATTGGTTACTTTAAGAACAATGCTGCATTCAAATCAAGTGGAGGAAAAAAAAGGGGGTTTGTGGTGGTGAGGAGTCATTCATGACTCACATGAGAGGACCGTGATTCATTCTTTTGTTTCGTAACAAGTTGAATCAGAACTCAACAACTTAAATTCATGTTATTTGTACAAACTTTATCAAGGTGTGACATGTGATTTGCATTTTTAAAGTTTGTAATCAAGTTTCCCATTTGAAGAAGAGAGGCTTGGGCATGTTTACAGCCTGTACTTTGACTCAAAATGCTGCAAAAGCGTCATGTAAGATTCTTTTTTTTGCTAGAAAAATTACATTTTCATGTTAGTTATATTAGTTAGTTATATTTTTATGTTAGCTGGATAATTATGTTTTATGTTTTCTTTCTGTTTGCATAATCAGGTGCAACAAAAGGGTTAAAAACAAAGCATTTTGCGTGCGTAATTGGATCCAGCAAGCAACACCACGATGCGTAAAAGTGCTTTCTTTCATGTATGATCAAAACTAGGCCCACAGCAGTTAGTGCTTTACCTGTACATCCCAGTATGTCACAAATACTGATGATGAACAATATCCGTGAGGAAGACGCGGGCCTCGGCAGCGGATACTGCCCGAGTCTTCTGTATCCTTTACGCTTCGGTAGAATTTGTATAACAGCAAACACGAGGCTGAGAGTGGCGCTCCCCAGACCTAACGCCCCGAACAGGACGGGCTGGAAGGTGACCACAAACTCCGTCGCTGCGTCTCGGTTCGGACAGCAGAAAGTCTCCAGCCGGGGGGATGCCATGACGCAGCGGGGCCGGGGGAAGAGGGGAGAGCACAAAGGGAGTAAGAAAGAAGTGGGCTACGGTGTCAGGGGAAAGGAGCAAAAGACAAGAAAAGGAGAGGAAATGACTGGGTACATGAGCCGGCTCTCGGAGAAATCACGGGGTTGAATCATCATGTGCTTCCATTTAATCCCTGCAGTTGTAGCTTAACTGGGCCACAATAAGAGGAAACCGACAAAGGACTGTTGTGTGATTTAGGTCTAACTTAAGACCTTAAGTTAGGTGAGTTCAGTAAGCTGCTGTGTGTTTTAATTATCTGATTCATGTACAGTATTTTTGGCCTGTTAAATACAGACTATCTAAAAAAATACACTGAAATATATTCATAATAAGACATTTTGATTTCATGTATCCTGAGGGAAAATGGTCTTGGGCTCAAAAAGCAATTCTGATTTACTCTACATAATGTAAGTCAGTGGAGCAACTTTAATATCTACTATTTTATTACTGCAACATCATCAAAGGGAAATTAGTTGTGCAGAAGAAAATAAAAACACCTGATAAAAAGACAAAGCACATAAACACATCCATTAAATACAAAATAAAAATCACTAGGATCACTCCACTGGTGATGCAATGCTCTGCAACTCTATGCTAATGTGAGCCAGTGGCGTAAAGTCAGGGGGGCCAGCAACCCTTTCCCTACTTCCGGCCCTTTTGCTTTGACCACACCCATCTTTGACTCAGCCGTCATTCTGATCTCAGCTGCACACCTGTAAAATTTTGGGATTATATCTTGCACAACAAAATCTGTCCACAGACATATAAACACCTTGCAAACACTCAGACCCACCTCTGTGGTACTTCCTGCTACAATAGATGTCTACAGGACCTCTTGTGGCCGTGACGCCACACACAGACTAAGCAGTGTAAATAATCCTAGCCATAGCACATTGTTGCAACTGGTAACAATTAAAGACTGATTTAAAGCAGTGGTTCCCAACTGGTCCAGCCACTGGGTCCAGATTTCTACTCAGTCATTAGTTCAAGGTAAAAACAGTGTAATACATTGAGCATCATACTTGTGTTTTCGGCCATGTCATCGAATTAGTTTGCTGTCTCTGTCAAGTAGCTGTCTGTTAGTCACTCATTTTATAACAGGAAACGGCACTAAATTAACCGTACTTAAAAATAAGTGTGTTTTTTGTACAAACTCGAAACGTTTGCAAGTCACTTGTGGTCCATTCAGAATGGACTTGCGACCCACTTTTGGACTGGGACCCACCAGTTGGGAAACACTGATCAAAGGTATCCATAAAATAACAGTCATATCATAGGAGAAACAGTAAAGTAGTGCAGGCACACCACAATGCATACAAACAGCTTGCCTTGTCTTCCGACGACTCGAAGCGCTTTAACGCTACGAGTCGCATTCACACACTAGTGGCCGAGACTACCGTACAAGGTGCCACCTGCTGCTCAGTAACCATTCACATGCACTTGCACACCAATGGAACAGCCATTGAGAGCAATTTGGGGTTCAGGATCTTGCCCAAGGATACTTTGACATGCAGACTCGATGAGCCTGGGATCGAACCTGCTGTACCTCTGAGCCACAGCTGCATAATTGATCTCTTAAAAAGAGTTCTCGATAACTTAAAGCTATCATTGTCATAATTCAGTTTCTTAGCTGACGAGTGATGCCAGCATCAGGGATACTACAACATAAATGTATCGTGAGCCCTCTGGAGGTGTAAACCAAACTCGTGAAACATCAGCAGTGGGAGACCCACTTGATAACCACATCACATTTGGGTGTGGTGACCTGTGATGACCTCTGTATCTACCATATGTGCTATTTGTGGGTCAAGTCTTCTGTGATAACAGGACTGGACATGTATTACAGCATGAAAGACCCTGTGTTACGCATCAGTAAATATGCTCGAGCAGATGTAAAAGAGAGACTGTTGGACTGACTAAATTTTAACCCAGACAGCATGAAAAAAAGACTGATTTTCATATGAACACAACCTCTAATTTTGATGAAGGAAGATTGTTCATGGCTTTCCAAACCGTAAACAAAGTCCTGTTCTCTCTTTGTTTAAAGGCAGTAATGAAAAGGTCAGATCTGAGCGACAAAGAATTAAAAGTAAATGCTTTGTATATGAACAGAAATGGTCCCATCCTCAGATTCATGATAAGAAGGATGACCTTTGGTGCACACACAGTTAAGCCTTGCACCAGAATTAAGAACCTGTACTTGATATAATTTCCCTCCCAATATGTATGCAGCAGACGTGCGCCCCGTCCAGACACAGGAGAGGTCACGGCAACTGCTGGAGCTGCGCGCCTGGACGGAGATCTGAGAAAACGCATGGACATTTAAAGCAGATTTATTTGGGGAAACAAAGCATCAAGGGCTTTCATTATTCAGTACTACAGAGAGGGCATTCATTGAGTTTGTACAATGGCATTCTAATCCATATGCACCTTCTCTGACAAGGCACAAAGTCAATTGTATGGCAAGCTTGTAGCCTGCTGCCAGGGATTAACAACTCCCTGAGGAATACACTTGGTATCGACTTGCTGTTTAAACATCTGCTCTCTGTTGCTGCCCTCTGCTGGTCTGCTGACAGTGTGATTGTAGCTCCCAAAACACAACAGGTAATTGTTGGTGCTGTGCATCTGGGGATGGCTCTGTGTGGAAAGATAGAGCTTCTACCATTACACATTAATGTGTTGTATTTATAGCAAACAAAGGGCACTACCACCAGCCTGAATCATAGGGGTGACTACACTATATGCTATAACACAGCTGTTCAGCTGTTAGAAGAGGATTTATGTTATGATGAAGATACAGATGTGTAGAAACTTAATTGAACTCTGTAGAGGAAGTCAGAGGTCAGGTTAGTATATCCCCAGAGCTGCTTGGGATTCAGTGTGTTCCTCAAGGACACCGGAGCAGAGCAGATTCTTGTTAACATGGCTGCTGAACCCTTTGAATTTAAGGAGGGTCGGTCTGATTATCAGGCCACCCATCCACATTCTATTAGGGCTGGAAAATAAGTGGATTTCCATGAGATATATAAAAATAAGATTACACTAGACTGTATGGAATTAAGAACTTTTTATTCTTGGGAAATTTTAATGTTTTTTCCTCACTTTTTATCTCAGCAAAATGTCATTACCATGACAAAATGGAAGAAATTGTTTGAGTAACTTTAGTATTTTTCAACCTGACTGTATTTCCCATGTTTTTGTGTCTAAAGCCCCGTTTCCACCAAACACTCTCGACATGGTACCTTTGGAACCAAAAGTAACCCTTCAGACATGGTACCTAGACTCTAGCGGGGTTGTTGTCACTCACTGCTGCATCCAGCACTCACTGTATTTCCTCCTTTATCAGTCTGCACCCCGTTTATCGTCCACAGAACGACATTTTCAGAACAAAATACAACAGGCTGCAGTGAGAGTCTCTCTCCATGGGAAATTTAAAAATAGCTGGTTTGTGAATTTAGTCCTTCTCAGGCAAGCTCGGGGGTTTAGTGTTGCCGAAGCCCACAGGAACAACGCTCCACGACGCTTTTTTTTTTTTCTCTCTGAGTGAGGATTGGGATATATGCAGTTCACACAATCTGGTCAAAATGTAAATGCTTGAAGATCCACTCATTACATAAAGTGTGTCATATAAAAACTAAAGTGATGGTCACAGTTGTCACATTGAAATTAAAGGTGTGCTGATGGATTCACATCGCCAACTCATGCATTGAGTAACATTACAAGCTAACGTTCCACCTTAAAGGTTGCCAGTAGCTGGCCCAGTGAATTATTTTTCTCCGACTCCAGCTGCTGCAAGAGGCAGCAAAACATCCTCTCATTTTATAGTTACAGTCTACTGACAAAACACTCCACGGTATGAACAGTGGTTACATGAGCCTCAAAACCAGCCACAACTCAGCCCTGAGCAGAGTGACCGTCCTCTATTGACCAATCAACAGGCTGCAGTGTTCACAGCTCCACCTTTTAGTACCAGATCTGTGTGCTAGGTACCCCAACAGAGGGGGGACCAAAAATGGGGACGTATGGAACAGTTCCAGTGGTACCATCCACAACTTTTCACAGTGGAAATGTACTGAACTGTATCGTACCCTACTGCTTGGTGGAAACGGTGCTTCAGTGACTAAGGGAGACAACTTTTTTTTAAGTTCTAGTATTGAGCAAGGGCGCAGCCACAGGCAGCTATGAAACGTGCCAATGTAACCATTCAGTGCATGTTTGCACAAGAGTTCACGTCCACTGAAAGTGCTTGTTTTTGCCACTGACAGGCTCAGATTGTTATTATTAGTGTTAGTAGTATTATAACTCTGCACAGACTTAATTCTGCACAGTGAAGGTTAAACATCCAAGCAATAAGGAAGACACATTTCTGATCGGTGGGGACCTTTGAATGTCTGGAAATAAATTGTGACATCTCTGCAGTGGCAGCAATATTACTGCTGAGGCACATTAAAAAAGTTTAGAACTTACTTTTTTAATGAAAATCTAGGCAAAGACATGAAGTTGAAGAATCATCTAAAAAAGGTTTATCAGTGAGAATGTCCTGCTGTGTTATCCTAAATCAGGCACACTGGGAGGAACTACAGAGATGGTATCTTTAAATGTAGAAACTCGGGCACAGTTTTTTAACCACTAATGCATAATGGCGTCACAGTGAAGCAGATAGGTTCACTTCCCTTTATTTTACCCATCAACCAGCTCTACGCTGCCCATCCCCTGCTGAAGAGGATGGGTGTGGCTGCAGAGTCACGTTGCACTCAAATTACAGACCTGCTCAACAGGCCCCTCACCCACTCCCTCTGCAACTTCATTGGTTGGTTGAGACCAAACCGCTCAACTCAACCAGCCTGTTTCCTGCAGGCAAATACTTTGTCAAAGAGGAAATGACATCACAGGACCAGGACTTACCACAAAAACACTGAAAACAGATGAGGACCAAACGACTATCAGATGTCCTGTGACTCCGAGGAGCACACAGTTCAGCCTCTGTTACAAAATACCTGTGAGGAGAAACAATCCGGCCATAAAACAACAGCTTTTGGAGCGACACTGTGAAGTATGTCTGCTGAACACACAGAGACCCGGGGAGACACTACATGTCAGAGTGGAGCTGGTGTTTTTTTCTCCAACCCTTTGATGAGTGGTGAGTAGCCGCAGGCAGCATATGCTGGCGCTGCAGCTGGAGCGCATTCACTGCATTGCACACAATGTTTAACCATGTCATTTCAATGCATGTTCAACATATTTGAAAGAACGACACTGAGTGAGCTGTGGGTGACTTGTTTATGTCTATGCATAGACTTTGAATCAGACTGGTCCCCGATTCATGATACTGCCTTTAATGGACGTGTCCTCGCTCTGCAGAGACTCATTGCTCAGGTAAAGTTTAACAAAACTTTATAGGTTACATTATACTGCTTAGAACATGGAGTTTATCCATTTAGAAAAAGTTTTGCTCTCTGAAAATCATCATTGATCATATTGAGACCGTGATAGTCTTTAACTTGTATGCCATTTTGTTGTATATAGTTTGTTTTGGAGCAAAACTCCTAATGTGCATCTACAGTATTTCAGTGAATCTACGTGCTGTGTATTCTTCACAGGGTACATGTGTGAACCTGAACACTCTGGACCAGGTTTCTCCCCTTCATGGAGCTTGTTTACAAGGCCACGAGTCCTGCGCCAAGCTTCTGGTGGATAATGGGGCAAACGTGAGTAAGGCATCACTTTTTTCTCAATATAACTAAATTCAAGATTAAAGTAGACTCACAAGTCCATCTTTATATGCTTTGCTTAACTAAAGACTGATGACTTTCTCCCTGATTTTGTGTTTAGATGGGCAGATACAATTTCAGTTTAAAAAAACTCCCTACGTTGCAGAACCAATAGTAAATCCGCAGAGAGGTCCTTCGGTGGCTCGCTGAACTCTTGTGCTCGTAAACATAGTCCGACTAGAAACACGTGCAGCGGTACAAAATGGCTCAAGTCGCTGTAAGTCCTTCATTTCCACAATCTTGTGGACTGAGCACACGTTTGATAAAACAGAGTTAAATCTCTCGGCATCCATTTTCAAGCTCTCTGTGTGTTTGTTTCCTTACGGACGAGAAAAGGGGCAGCGCACATTTCCGGGAGGGCGTGTCCTTTTCAAAAATGCAAGAGGCGTTGTTTTGTTGCCGGCCGTTTTCGCCAGTCTGTTAAAGGGAAATTTTGGTTTATTTCAACCTGTCTCCTATCGTCCTAAATTTGTTTCAAGTGACTAGTGACATATAAATAATAGTTAGCATGTTAGCCGTTAGCCTAGATACAGCCGGGGGGCACCTAGTAGCGTCAGACCTGTTAAAACGTAAGTGAAAGGGCAACCTTCAAGTGCAAAGTTAGTCCACTAAACAAGTTCGGATAAATGTCAGAGAACATATAGAAAACGACATGTAAACGTGTTGTCTTACCTTAACCGTGTGCTGCCGTGTTTGTTTACCATTAGGTCTGCTTTCCAAAGCGCAGCCAAAATATCGCGAGAACATGCAGCGATCTCATACCGTGCCTGAAATCTCACGAGAACAAGCAGCAACAGCTGGAAGGCAGAACCGGACAGTAGCCTGAAAAGTTCATTCATTTATTTTATTAAGATTTATAGAATAATGGCTGACTTTTTGCCAGACTTCGACTTTGTGGAGGAGGAATTTGATTTTGCAGAGTTTAATGGCCGCCCTTATTTATTTGAGCCAGAATACACTGACAAAGAGCTTCGTGAAATTGTATAACGGAGGAGGAGAGAGAGAGAGAGGCGCAACAGGTAGAGGACGAGAGAGGAGGAATGGCTGCTGCAAGGCTGCATAGCTCTGGAGATTGGTGGTATTTCGCAATATTTCAGCCACGCTTTGGAAAGCAGCGCTAAATGGTAAACAAACATGGCAGCACACCGGTAAGGTAAGACAACACATTTACATGTCATTTTCTATATGTTCTCTGACATTTATCCTAACGATATGAGGCAGTCTTTGTGGAAAAAAAGCTAGTTTAGTGGACTAACTTTGCACTTGAAAGGATGCCCGTTCAATTACGTTTTAACAGACCATGCGCCCCGGCTGTATCTAGGCTAACGGCTAACATGCTAACTATTATTTCTATGTCACTAGTCACTTGAAACAAATTTAGGATGATAGGAGACAGGTTGAAATAAACCGAAATTTCCCTTTAAACACACTTTAGAAAGGAGTGTCCCCAGACTATCAGAAGCTGGAGATCTCTGATTGTCTGGTGGTGAGACTAAGATTAAAGAAACTCCTAAATTCTTCTCTGGTCTAGTAAGGAAGCAACCATATCAATAATTACTGGGTTCAACTTTGTTTTGGTGCAAATCAGTAAGAGATTAACCCAACACACAGACAGACAGGATCATGCAAACACATCCATGCATGCACAATGACACATTAACAAACAGAAATCTGCAGATACAAAGTCTGATCTGTCAAACCGCCACAGTGCACTTCATGTTTGATTCACACCTACAGTAGCTATTGTATAAATATCATCATTCATTCATTCACTTTCTGTAACCGCTCATAATGTTGGGGGTCGTGGGGGGCTGGAGCCGATCCCGGGTGATATTGGGCGACAGGCAGGGTACACCCTGGGCTAACATATAAAGACAGACGCTCAATATTCACACCTACGGGCCATTTAGAGTTACCAATTAACCTAACATGCATGTCCTTGGACTGTGGGAGGAAACCAGAGGAGAAAACGCAAGCTGACATGTGGAGAACATGCAAACTCTGCACAGAAGGGCTCCTTTTCTTCATTAAAAGCTCATAATCATTTCTTTAAATTATCATCACTTTACTGACTCGTGCTCACACGATGTCTGATTTCTTCTGCTCGATTTGTTTATTATTCTCACTTTAAATTAACGGACTTGTGTCTCAAAAATACACTCACCCACATCAGGTTAACAGTTCAACAGTGGACGGACAAACTCCCCTGTCTGAAGCTTGTGCCCGAGGCCATGTGACCTGCGTATCGTTGCTCCTTCAACACGGAGCGACTCCCATGGGGACCAGCCAGACCAGCTCTCCGATCCACCGGGCTGCAGCCAAAGGTGAGAGGTCACATTCCTCTGCATGCGCATGGATAATCTATGCTGAACCAGCTTCGTCAGTCACTATAAAAATGCACAAGGAGTGCCAAAGCATCAGCAAAGCTCTGAGACATGCAAAGTGTATCAAAAAAAATAAATATATAAATAGAAATCGGTGTTGTTCTGAGCTGCAAAGTAAAACAATTGCATATTCTTCCCCCCGGAATGCCGAGAGCAAGCAGATTTCAAAGCACATCCTTTCAAGTGCATCACTTCTCATTGTGATGATTCTGGTAACTGTGTGTAGGTCATCCAGAGTGCATCAAGTTGCTTGTTCAGCACGGCGCTGATGTGGATCAGTGTATCGACCAATCAGGGTTCCCTCTGCATACCGCCTGCTCCAATCAGCACCTGGGTACTGTGAGGAAACTGCTTCAACTTGGTAAGAATGCCTTTAGATTTAACTTATAAGCTCTTCAATGAATGTGTCAGTCTGTTAGGGTAAAGAGGGGACCATCTGCTGTAATAACGTTGGAGTTTTATAATAGTTGGATACACATCTCTGGGGTCTGATTGACCTTTGTGACATTAGTGATGTCACTCTGTAGGATAGCACACAAGATTTCTTCATGTCTTTGGCGAACACATCATTTAAATTTCTTCATACAGAGCCCATATAACATATAAAACATGACATATTTCCTGATTTTGGTGTTCCTTTCCTCTCCTAATTATAAGGCCAGAGGACTTATAATTACTCAAAATATAGCATGCATAATAAGAGCCATTTTCAAACTAAAAATGGCTTGGTTTTGACCACTACTCGACGAACCTGTCCTTTAGTGTCCGTTATAGTTTGCACGACTCTTCCCAGAGGGCAACAGCTCCTGGGGGCGTTTTTATCCAGGATTATCACAGTATCTCCTGGTGCTAGATTTTGCCTGAAGCTTTGAACAGAAAACCCTGCACCCTGCTCTTGCTCAGCTTCACAATTTATTAGTAACACCAACATTTCGGTCCTCCTGGACCTTCGTCAAGAGTGTTCAACCACCACTTTAATCCGTTTTTGGTGTTCCTGTAAGCTGGGCAAGTACTCACGCACCCACCTCTTCCAAAACAGGTCTGTGAGATACTGAGTCTGCTTCCATGTATGACAAGAGCAGCAGTCATCCTTGCTGAACAGTGCAGAGGAAGTGAGAGCTGTTTCTTTAGCGACAGCAGATGATTTAGTGTCAATGCTTCGATGTCATTTGGGTCATCAGATGATGTAGTTAGTGGTCTATAATTTAGTATGGCCTTGACCTCACATAGTAAAGTCTGCACACACTTGTTGTCTATTGTTTGCTCATGCAGAACAGACTTAAAGACCTTTATCACTGATTTCACTTGCCTGTTCCAAACTTCACCGATATTCCTTTTTGTGCAAGATCACTCTGTATCTTCGCTTGATTCCATTGCCACATAGCTGCCCTTATGTCTTTGTCTGTACTGACAAGGTTGGTGCCATTGTCTGATCTGATAAGGGAAAAATGACCTCTTCTGCAAATGAAGCGTCAAAGGGCATTTAAGCACAAGTGTGTGTCAAGTGAAGCAATGAAATGTAGCACTGTGACCAAGATGAATTTCCCTTAGGGGACAATAAAGTTTACCTTACCTTACCTTACCTTACCTTACCTTACCTAAGTGAGTGCCACCTCTAGGTGCACAGCGCAGCTTGTCAAACAGGTAAACAATACACCATACCCTTTGACAATGCTGCGACCTCTCTTGACCTCTGTGGATCAGAAATAATAAAAAAAAATCTCCTTTTGTCATGTCACTAAACTACCTCATGGCACCATACCCATCATAAATAACTTGTGCCTGTATTCTAACACGAAACTAAAAGTAAATATAAACATAACCTTAGCACAGTCCACTAATATACACTATTCAGAGTATACAGAAACTGTTCTGTAAACTTAAACAATAGCAGAAACTATATAATATGTCATATCAGCACAGACATTTTTACCAAATATAAAGATATGCCGAAATGGTAATTTCTGTATTTTGTGGCAAATGATAGGGCTACCACTTAACTACATTTCTGGGTTTCAGTGGGTCAGAAGTTAAGAGTATTAAAAGGGGAAAAAAGTTATTTTGCAGATGTTACTGTTGTTTTTACATGTACAGCAGTGGAATCTGAAAAACCCCAAACAATGCATGTACATGTACATGAAGTAAAGCCAGTGTCAACAAAGCACACAGGCTAAATAGCATTGCTACTCAAAATCAGGACAATATGTTTCCAGTGGTGGGAATAGTACTCTGCTCAGCAGGTATAAGTAATAAAACCCAGAGTAACAATACTCTGTTATAATTAAAAGTTCTGCTTTCAAAATTGTATTCAAGTAAACAACAAAAAATATTGCCAGCAAAGTGTACTTTAAGTACCAGAAATAAATTGTATTGCATCATTATCCAAAAATATATTACAGAATAACACATGTAGGGGCCATTCTTCTGCATCATGTGTACATTTTCTTGTACTTAAGTATATTTTGTTAATAATACTCACATACTTTTACCCAAGGGACATTTTCATTGCTGGACGTTCACTTGTAATGAGGTATTTTTACATTTTGCAGATTTGCTACTTTCACTTCAATATATATCTTGGTAGTTCCTCCATCACATGTAATTAGTTAAGAATCAGTTTTTATATGTAGAACCACAAAGGAACAGTTCACCCCAAAATTCTGAATCCATATTTTTTCTCTTACCTGTTGTGCTATTCATCAGTCTAGATTGTTTTGGTATGAGTTGCAGAGTGTTAGAGATATCTGCCGTAGAGACATCTACCTTCTCTCCAATATAATGGAACTCGATACAACTTGACCTGTAGTGCTCAAAGCTCATGCAGAAATCATGACCCAGTCACTCTAGATTATTCACAGACCTTGTTGTGAGCAGTTTCATGTATGAACTATTTTCTGTCTACCGAAATACACCCACCAACCGTATCACTGTACAGAAGGAAGCGTGCATCTACTCATGGATTAGAGGCTAGTGCTCATGACAGCTAGCCCAGTGGTGGTACAGCAGTTGATGCACGCTTCCTTCTGCACTGTGATACAGATGGTGGGTTCAGTAGATGGAAAATAGTTCTGACATGAAACTGCTCACAACAAAGTCTGTGGATTATCTTCGGAAAGAGACAATGTTGTTGAGTTTTTCAAATGTATTTTTCAGTGTTTTGAGCATCACAAGCCGAGTGCCATCCACTTCCATTGTGTTCCAGAGAAGGCAGACATCTCTATAGCCGATATCTCCAACACTCTGCAGCTCACACCAAGACCATCTAGATTGATGAACAGCACTACAGGTAAGAGGAAAAATATGTACTTTTATTTTAGGGCGAACTGTCCCTTTAATCTGCCAGTTAAATGTAGTGGAGTAAAAAGCACAAATTAGTCTCTGAAATGTATAAGAGTAGAAGTACAAAGTCAAATTTAAAGGAAATACTTAAGTAAAGTATAATTATCTTAAAAGTAAACTTAAATACAGTGCTTGTGTAAATGCACACAGGGCTCTTCATGCTGTTTTACTTAATGTAACATGCATAATTTTTTGGGCTCCCTGATTTGAATATTCATAACCTGAGTGACTGCAGTCCTGCTAGGAAATGGCCCAAAGTCTTTTAGGTAAGCAATAAAGAGGATAATGGTGCTCTGCTGTAGGAGAAGAAAAGCTTTAACTGAACTGTCAGAGCTCCTCTCCCCCACTCATGTAATGTGAGGACATCATACCTCATTAGTCTCTGCTCTCCTTCAGGTGCCAGTGTGAACAGCTGTGCATCTGGTGACTCGCCGCTGCACATCGATGCCCGTCTGTCCAGCCCTGAGATGGTGTCAGTCCTGCTTGACCACGGGGCCGATCGATCCCTCAGGAACTCGGAGGGCAAACAGCCACTGGACCTTGCGCCTCCCAACAGCCTGGTGGAGAGGCTGTTGAGACAAGCAGGTGGTATACAAGCCAAACTAAGCAAGTAGACTCACTGCGGCCTGTACATCAGGCAAGTGCCCCTAAGCAATAGCTAATAATCAAAACATCTCTCTGTCATGGCTCCTGCTTCTCTCCCCCCTGACAACTGCCCCAGGAACGTCTCCCTTAATGCAGCTGTGCCGGCTGAACATCAGGAAAACTGTGGGCAAGCAGAGACTGGGTGGGATTCACGACCTTCACCTTCCCACAGAAGTGAAACAGTATCTCCTCTACCAATCAGACCCAGAGGGAGTCTCATCTAATGCTTAGAGGAGCTCAGACTCTGAGCATTTAACTTCTAGGTCAGTAGGGGGTGAAGTTGCATAATCTTCCATGGCTCATGGTTGTGGTAGTCATTAACTCAAGACCTCTGTAAACAAACTCTCAAATTCTCATGATCAGTCTGGACTTTATGTGAACGCTTACAGCGAGTTTTAATCATTAAGTATTCATAAACAAAATACATACATATTTAAAATGAGAATATGCTAAGAAATGCTGCATAATTAATGTAAAATAAGGTACTGAAACAATATTTGTTAGATTGCACAAGCCTCTGCATTCAGCCGATGTAGTTTTTGTTATTTAAAATTGAATTTATGTCTAAGATACTGCTGTATTGATTTTTCTCCCCCTTCAGACCTACACTAGATAAACTCTCATGTGAAATCTTGTTCATGTCCGCTACAATTCATCCCTAGAATGTTCCTGGAAACGGCTCAGCGTGTTTGGCTCTTGCAGGGTATGTAGTAATTTTTTTTCTGAGGGCAAAAAAACAACAACCTGTTTGTAGATCAGCTGAAAACACAGTAGATAAGTCATCTCCACCTAATAAAAAGTCACCTTAAAAGTGTCCTTGAATTTGAACACATCAATATTTTTGTACTGCAATTATCATGACTATGACTTAATAATAAAAACTAAGGGATTTTTTTCCCATTATTTCAAATTAAGGAAAATGTTTTTTTGTGTTGTTGTTTTTTCATCTGCAACATTTACCAATAAGCATGGTCATCATGGATATGGACGATGACCTTGGTACTTAAAAATGAATTATTGATATCATGGTAATAATACACATATGATAATACTGTGTAAATAATTCAGCACCTCTTGAATCATATCCGTTTCATTCGGTTCTCGCTTTTTCTCACCCTTGGGTTGCCTTTTTTACCATCCACCAGGTGTAATTGCTCCTTCTGTATCATTTTGTACACCTCCCTTAAATTATTTTTGACTAATTTATTAAGATATATATAGAAAAAGAGACAAAATGCACTGTAAAAACAGTTAAAGATTAATTTGACTGAAAGCATTATTATTATTTTATAAAAACATTGTAATAATAACATTATCGTGAATCCTTAGTCATGCTCTTCGGATAAGTCAAGGTAACAAGTAACTATGACTCAGCATCCAACGCACACAAACCACTTGAGGTTTGAGTCAATAAAAACGCTTTATCCTTCTCTCCCCTCATCAAGAATAAATGTTCCACTGTAGTGTTTCTGGATTCCTCTATGATGCCTCTGATAAAAAGCACCAATGACACATTATCAAATACTGATTCACATAGTGAATGTGGCTATTTAAGACATGCACTGTATTATTTTCTTACAGATTATGTTTAAAAACTGACATTATATGTATCTGCATATGCACTGTGTGTGAAGAACTGCGTATTTTCACTCAGTGTAAACACAAAGAATCGACTGTTATGGGGTTGTGGTTGGGACACAGGATGTGTTGAGATATTATGCAAACAAGTTTCCCCAGAGTCTTAAGAGTACATCTGAAAAACAAGACGGGCACAGCACAAGGATAAAGCATGAAAGTGAACACTGAGTGCACAGAGTACTATTCATTGTATAAATGAGTACATTATAACCCAGTTACATGTTTTTCCTTAAAGCTCAGTTGAGTTGAGGACAGTCCTACATCAACAAAATAACATCTGCAAAGCTCCATTTCTCAGATGGACTTAAGGAAGAGCATTTAAATGAAGAATCAGGCATTTACCCTAAAACTTCAATTAGTAGCCCGAGCTTTTATTTGCTTAAATCACTAACAAATAAATTGTTTATTTGAACCAGTACGAATATAACTTGTATAGGAATTAGACTTCAACTTCTTATCAGATTACAACACCCAGTATACCTATACAACACCACATCTTTTGATCGGTGGACCCTTACGGACTAAAGAAACATAAATAACCTTTCGTGTAATTGAGGAAGGGAGTTACCACTTGTTTTGTCGTCATGCCGGAAAATCTAAATGACTTACGGCCTTCTCTGGTGCTCGTGGTTTCAGTGAAATGAACTCCCCAATGGCAGTGGCACCCCAGCAGGATAATGCACCATGCCACACTGCAAACATCCCTCAGGAACGGCCCAAGAAATGTGACAAAGACCTCAAAGTGTCAACCTGGCCTCCAAATTCCCCAGATCCCAATCGGAATGAGCATCTGTGGCACATGCCATTAACCCACCTCACAACCCACTTGGACTAAATGGATGTGCCGTCAGCACACTCCTAGAGATCCTGTGTCCGATCCAAGCAGGCCCCACCTTGAATTAGGGGTACATCTGGGGTACCGGCACATCTCAAGAATCCTTGAGCTGATTGGGACCTCGGAAATTTAGAAGCAAGGTCGACACCTTGAGCTTTTTGTCAAGCTCCACAGGCCATTTCTGAACAGTTTTTGTAGTGTGGCATGCTGCTTTTTTCTGCTGCAATTGGGGAGGACTGTTGCCATGAGGGGGGTACTTGGTCTGCAACAGTGTTTTAGTGGGTGGAACATGTCAGGTGGTATCCACATGAATGCCAGAACCAAAGGTAGTATTTGTCTGAATGTGTAGATACACCAGGCTAGTAAAAGGGACTGGGCGTTTAATTATAACTAGGTTTTTTATTGAAGTTTAACGGTATTAGATTCTGATTTTCTTGTGGTGCCCTACTACAGATTACAACAACCTGAGAAGAAGAGGGGGCACTGCAACAAAGACATATCAGAGATCCATGCGATTTCTTATTCCCCTTACATCAGATGATAGAAATCAAAGAACACAATGTCTTATTTAGGTCACTACTTCTTTCTGATGCCTAAATCTAGTATTTGAGATGTGCTGGCTGATTTCATGGTAATCATTTGTTTATCCGCCACCTGAAGCAAAAACATGTAATGCAAAGTAGGTCTGTCTTTTTTTTCCTGATTCCCTCAACAGTTTTGTCCACACAAGTCAAATAAATATATCGAGTGTGATGCGAGGCATCATTGGTGATGTTTCCAAAGCGCCTAGCAGCAAGTCAGCTGTCACCATCCTTACCCAAAACTCTTCAAGGGCTCGCTGACCCCCGACCCGTGTGTTTGTCTGTGCATATAGCCAATCATCAGGGCTGACAGAGACCATAAGGCAGAAAACAGGTTTAGCATAAATGGAGAAAAGCCAAAAAGATAGTGGAAAGAAACCTTTTCAGTATGGTTTACTTGGTATAAATCATAACCTTTTTACCACACAGTTATGGGAGCTGAGTAATGTTCACCACCACTGTAATAAAAGCCTTGATTTCAACAGGTCATTTACAGAGATGATGGAAAGTGAAGCGTGTCGTACTGTAGTTTCCCAACATCTTCTCCATGGTGACAAAAGCAACAGATGCTCAACACCCACACCCTCCTCGTTAAATGCACACTCATCGACTTTCCACCAACTCCTCTGTCCCAATTTACCACTTAATCATCGCTCTCCTCAAACATCCCATGAGCGCCCGGGAGCCAGCCGCACATTGAACCGGGTTTCGATTTAACTGGAGTTTAATGTTAAATCAATATCGTGGAGGAGCTTGTGACTCCTGAAAGCTGCCAGGGAAGACGTACAGTGTCCCCCCCTAAGTGAGACAAGCCTGTCTGGGAATCAGTGTCACATGACCGCTCAAATAATTTCCCACTCCAGCCATTGTGGCATCACTGATGGTTGTGTTGTGTTTGGCCGGGCGCAGCACGGTGTATCTGATCGACTTCCTGGGTTCAGTCAGGTGCTGCGTGGCACTCAGATGCACTTAAAATCAGCCCACCTATGTGTGATACCAAAGCTTTTACTTTTAGTCTCAAGAGGCAAACACTCCATTAACCCCCATCCTTTTTTTTATGCATATGCACTCACTACCCAAATAGCGCAAAATGCATTTTTTAGTAAGACTTTAAGTGAAACACATAATGCAAGTTTTACATCCAGCACACATGCTCGCTTAAAACCAATTCCTTCAACAAACAACTATTAATGGAGCGGCTTTATAAGAACCATATGAGGGGCTGCCACTAAAATAGAATGATTTACAGAACAAGCAAAGCAATGCAATCTTCAGGGGAATAAACATTTCGCGGCGCCCGAAAGAGCCCAGTGTTTATAATCAACGCAGGATTAGTTTACCCGTTATTGCATGAGTCATTCTAATCATCCCTCGCATGCGAGCAGCCACCACCTACTGCGAACAAGCTGCAAATGTTGACGCCAGACAACCCTTGTGCGCACATATCTAATAACCCAATTGTGATCATTTCTAGTGTGGCAGCTTGCGTCCTGATTGCTCCGAGCTGGATCATGTTATAGATATCAGCGCTTCCCACTAAGCTACAAGTGGGTTGTGCCATGTCCTTGTACTCACCAGTAATTGCTTTGGTATTTTTAGTTTGCTAGTGTCGGGGTAATTAAAACAAATAGAGGAGATAGTAGAGACAGAGATCTCTTGTGGCTCCTTGGTCTGAGTGTGGAGAGGTTTAGTAAGGTCATACATGGCAATGTTTTCAATTAGACACCTCTGTACTAATGAGGGTTTATTAGAGAGTGTGGATACTTATGCAAAACAGGACGACTGACTGACCCAAACATCTACAGCTCAGGATAAAGGAGAGTGTGTGGATACTCTTATTAAATGCTCTGACAAAAGTAAAAGTGTTATAATGCTGAATAAAAAGAGATAGTTTGACAAAAGAAGGTTTATTTCATAATTTTTAGATTTATATAATATAAAAAATTGTACATTATGATCACAAAAATAACTAATAATAACAATAATAACTTCTTCCTACATATTGTGTCTTTCGCAATAAATACACTTTTTTTTCTCCATGATCGGTCTTAAAAAATACATTAATGATTCCATGTCACATTGTTAAAAGTGTCTCTGTTGCATTACCTCTCAAGTGCTTGAAAAGAGACGAGTACAATCTCTTCATATAGTTACTCCACAACAACTCTCATGTCCCTAAGGTCAGCCCTCCTCCCCTCCATGACAGCAGCCCGAGGGAAGGAGAGAGCTCAGGACGACCGTCCCCCAGGTAGTCAACTGTGGCCCCTGCTGGAACCGTCTGTGCGTCTGTGGTCGACAGATGCGGGCGGAGGGAGCTGTGGCAGGTCAGGATGGCTGCTGGGAAGTGCCCAGCAGGTAGAGACACAGGAGGTTCAGCACCACGAGGACCAGCACCAACCCGATGAGAACCTTCTGCACCCACAGACACGTGTTCATCTTCTGCTCCAACCGAGCATTGCAGGTCATCACTCGCATGAGCTGCTGAGATAAAAACGGGTTCACTGACCTGGTTTATCTAACACCCTTGGAATTAAAGTCATGGAAACAAATCAGGCAGGAGACGTAAGGTAAATTAAGGGAATAGTGTGAAATGCGCTTATTTGGTTTGTTGCCAAGAGTTAGATGAGAAGGTTGATAGCACTCTCATATCTGTGTGATATGTATGGAGCTGGAGCAGGGAGGCAATTAGCTTAACATGAAGACTGGAGGCTTAAGGTTATCTGTATAGGGGAAACAAACAGCCTGGTCTTCTACACACTTAAGAAATACGCATGCCTGCACCTCTAAAAGCACATTATCAACGTGAAGTATTTCATTTGTTTAAATTACACTTAAGCAGAAAGGCAAACATGACAA